GGGGGTTATGTTTCCCCTTTTCCAGTCGGAGAGAACTTCTCCAGACTGCCGGGACTTCTCAAATATGATGGAGAGTGGCCTGGCCAGTTCCCTCAAGACCCGTGGATGCATCTCATCAGGTCCCATGAACTTGTGCACCTTCAGGTTCCTTAGATATTCTTGAACCTGATCTTGTCCTACAGTGGGCAGTTCTGCATTCTCCCAGTCCCTGCCTTCTGTGACCTGGGCAGTGTGGCTCAAGCATTTGCCAGTGAAGACTGAGGCAAAGAAGTCGTTGAGTACCTCAGCCTTCCCCATATCCTGGGTAACCAGTTCACCCATTTCATTCTGGAGGGGACCGGGCATCTTCTGATTTTTTTAATGTGTGAAAATTGATATTCCCTGGTGAAAACAATTACACTGATCTTTATGTGCACACCTGACTTGTTTACTCTTACCCTTACCATGGACTTTTAAGTTACTGTCTTGTGATTTTGATTTCGTCCCACAGTGGTTCTAAATCTTATTTCTTTATTGATTGCTAGTTGCTTCCTTGTCTTCCTTGTTGTTTCTGTGCCCACTTCTGCACATGAAGACTAAAGGACTTGTCCCCATTAACATGGTTCTCTCAAACAGGAGTTTGAATTGAGAAAAGCAGTGCTGCTTATCAAAGCTGGGAGAGAGGAACGTCTGCTTGCCTTTTATTTTGCTATAAAGGGCATGAATCTTCTGGACTTTGAATGCCAGTTTTTCTTCGATATTTTTCAAAACTTCTGTTCAAAACTTCAAAAGAAATTTAAACTTTTAAACCTCACTCTGAGAACTTACAGCACATCCAATTCATATGCTGTATATACTCAATATTTGTACTTGAGATGTTGTTTCATATGTCTTTTTAGTCATCTTCTTCACTGTGTCACTTAGGTTTTAATGCATTCCAGAATTCCACTTTTGGAGCAACATGCTCTTTGAACAGTTTAAACTTTGCATCTTTAAGGGTTTTTTTGTCATATCTTAAACTGCAAAACCTATGACTAGTACTAACATGTACTGCACTCAGCTATACGTTCTTGTGTATCACTTTTAAGTTCTATGCTCTTCTAAGCAGCATCAGTATCAATTGTAAGTGGTAAGAATTAATGCTTTCCTTCAAATGATGAAAAGGACAAATTTCCCAAATGGTTTTGTAGAGATTTCTTGTTGTTCCTGTTCTTTATTTTCACATTGAGGATACTTGCAAGCAATTAAGGTATAAGTAGAGCAGGCTGAAATCTGCATAAAGTTCGTATTGTTTTGGGGAGGTTTTTTCCCTTCAAAAATGACAAAATATCTGTATGTAATTGCTTTGTCTTTTCTCTTTTTTTTTCTTTTTCTTTTTTTTTTTCTTTTAAGGTTTTCTGGGGTCAAGAGCATTTGAATTGTTTAGTTCTTCTCCAGGAGCTTCTGCAGCAGTACCTCGCTAGAAAGGGCAGTGTAGAGACCTTGACATCTGAACGGACACACTCCACTTGTTTTTCTACAGAAAGGAATCAGGCCTCAAAAACTGAGCATACCTCAGATGATCTGAGAACAGGCCTGTTCCAGTATATACAAGATGCAGGTAGGAAGAATATTATTGCTTTCTTCTTTTTAATTATAAAGTAAATACAGTAGTAACCTATTAAAGATTACTTGCCTCTTACAATGAATATGTTACTTTTTTTGGAAAAGCAATTGAAAAGACATCTGCTAGAATGAAAAAAATACTTTTTTGATTTCTTTCCATTAAAGTCAGGGAAATTGCTTTTTTATTTTCTCTCCTTTTGATCCTGAGGGGTTTTTTTTTAACTACTTCAGTCTCATAAACCAGCATGTTTCTTTCTAGAAATTATATAACAGATTATAGCTTTCTTTCATTTGACAGAAGCACAAAAACTGCCCAGTGCCTATGAAGTTGTGTTTTACAATGAAACTGAGGATAGTCCAGGAATGATGTTGTGGAGATATCCAGAACCCAGAGTGCTCACTCTTGTAAGAATTAACCCTGTTCCTTTCAATACCACTGAAGACCCAGATATTAGCACTGCTGACCTTGGAGATGTTCTTCAGGTGGGTAATGAGAATTTTCTACTTTCATTAACAAAAGAAAAAGTTATTGTTGTAAAGTGAATGTTTTCAAACTTAGGTTTATTAAAAATCAGCACAAAACAAATGTCAAGAGCTCTATAAAATCAATAGGAGGTAAATTCCACAGCTTGAGCACATCTTTAGTTTTAAAAATACTTTTGCAAACATTTTAACCACTTACCTGTAACATTTTTCCATGACATAATAAGCTGTAGCCGAATTTATCAGTTCTGGTTTGCAAGCATGCAGAGTTTTTATTCTGTCTTCCTATGATTTCATCCATCAGTCCTTACGTAAAGACTTCATTTGATTTGAAACTGAAACATGTGAGGAAAGACCTGGTCTGAAATTGCCAAGATGCAGCAGAATCATTGAATTAAAATCTCCAATGTGGCCATCCTCTCCTGTGCCTGTGATGGCAGGTGGCTGTGCTGCTTTTAGTAAGGTCCACAGGGTAGTGAGAAAGGATGTATTTTCTCTCATTTTGCTTTGAGAGGATGAAGTGGGCAGGCCAGTTTGACTGTGTGACATCATGGAACTGCCCTTCAAAGGAGGGCTGAGTGCTGCGGTTGTGCCCCCAAAGTAGACCATACCTCATGGTTACACTGATCCTTAACTCTGAGAATTTTTGCTCTCTCAAATACCCAATCAGATAATTATATTCTCTCCTATCTAGTGTAATTCATCTTTGTAAATCCACTTACTCCTTGCATACCTATGTTGATTTTTGCTCAGTTTTAATTTTGTTATTATCAGTTTCTTTTTTGTATTACAAATTGGATGTGTCATTATTTTTAATTTGAATCTGCTTGTTAATCAGAATAGTGTTGTGAGTCAAGGGAAATAAATATCTCCCAGTTCTTCCTATTTGTTCAGAAATGTTGAATAATATTTCATTATTGCTATAACTTTAAAAATTGCTTTTAAAATTGAATTACATACCAATATGCTTTGAGTTATGGATAAGTAGGATAATCTTCCTCAGATAAATGGTATAACGTTATAACCATGCACATACTGTTAGTGAGATCATGTAAGTGTCCTGCCAATTTCTTTGCCCTCTAGACAACCAAATGTCAGCTCCTTTCAGTTATATGAAAATTAAAATGAAATGGAAAAAAAATCAGTTCCACTTGGCATGAGGTTTGAATCAAAGATCAAAATTGTGTTATTGTATGCTGTCTTGATGACCCTATTAGGTTGCCATGAAAGCCAGCAATTTGCCTTCTTTCAGGATGGTATTTTCAGAGCACAGCACACCAAGTTTTTGGTATAATTACATTAAGCTCCCATTATAGGTAACAGACATCATGAACATAATGTCTGTGGTTATGTAATAATATGACCCTGTACAAGGCGAATATCAGTTCTTCTTCAAAGTGGGCATACGCAGCTGGACTTCTAGTAGCACACACGTTCTGCAGCTTTGTGCTTCCATGCTACAGTCTGGAGGAAAGAAGGTGCTTGCAATCCTCTTTCATTTCTCCTGCAATCGCCTCGGGCACTATGATACAAACCGGGAAGCACTCAGCTACCTGTGTTCAGGTTCTGTCAACTTCCACTGGTCTTCATGTAATTCTTCAGATTTGCATTTAATCTTATACATTGACCGCAGAGAAGTGTTTCCATCAGTCTCATTTTAAGTTTGTGGTCAAGCATCCTTGTATAGCTTCCCTCCATGATGCTTTTTACTGTGGTGCACTCTCTTCTTAAGGTCTGTCAATTTTATGATTAATTATTTCTTAGTAAGTCTTATATTACTACTTTGGGATTTCAATTAAAAGGGAAGAGATGAAAGTTATCAGCCAAATTAGAGGACATCTATTCAAAAACTCTGCTCTTGGGCACATGGAGTGCAGAAATGTCTACAAGGAGATCCACACTGTGGTAGTGGGCTATTAATTATGGCAGTAACTGTTGCCTGCACTAGGTGGTGATTTATCACATTTTCCGGAAATGGCCATGCACCTACACAGAGCAGCTCTGCACAATGTAGACAAACAGCTATTTTAAACATGGACAATATGCATTTTTTTATTAGTCTAACATAGATATGTGGGTGGAATAAGTAATAGAATCAAATTTCAAATTCTTTAGGTAAACTGCATTTACCAAATACTCATCTCAGACTTTAGGTTCTGATGTAAATTAATCAGGAAGCCTTTCATGAGCTCCACTTTGTTCCCCGTATGGATATATGTCTGTTTCTTAATATACTGTGTATTTAGTGCATATGGAAAATTCACAAAATATAACAAAGACAAAACAACACTTTTATTCACTTCTTGACATGAAACATTAGAGGAACATCTGCAAGCCAAAGACTTCAACTTTTTTGAAAAAGGATATAAATTTAAATACAATAATGTTATCAAAGTATATTAAAAATGTATTTTTAAAACTTTCCCAGGATTGTGTATATGTTCAAGTGCTAGGAGGACCCATAATGTCACCAGCTGTGTTACCACTCTCCCTTAATCCTTCATTTCACATAAATCTGGGCAAAGGTGCACTTCCATAGTTTGTCTTGAATTAAAAGTTTGCCAGTTGCATGTTCTTTCTTTCCAAGTAATTTGCTGTGACATTTCATCTAGCTTTCTATCTTTGTCAAATTTCTTTTGGCATATCGTTTTAATCATGGGTAGGTTTTAGAAGTCTCTTTGGTTTTATAGCTATTCTTTAAATTCCTGGAACTTGCAAAAGATTCACCATAAAGAGATTTTTTTTCTAGATATTGAAGTTGCGTGTCATCTGCTGCAGCCAAAGGATAAGCGAACAGCTTCAGATTATAAAAGTTGCTATGAACTATATTGTTTCTGTAAAACCTTACCTTGCTGCTTTTTCTGGATTGTCCCAAGAGCTTATTTTCTTGTGCTTTTACTTGTGTTGTTGCAAAGGTAAGCAGTTTCACTGCTCAAATTTCTAATACTTTACTTTTTTACAATCCCAACATTATTGCTTTTGTTCGTGGAGGGAAAAGGAAGAACTGATGTTTCTGCCGTGGCGTAGCATGTTGTATTTTCTTTAGCAATTTGAAATAGAAGTTTGATCTATTTGTTTGAAGAAAGTGAGAGAGAATCCTAGATGCACTTGGAAGAAATGGTGTCAGGATTGTATTTCTTTTGGGAGATTGAGAGTATCTGAACTTGTTGTTCTTTATGTTTATTGGGCATTGCAGCCCCTTTCTATTTAATTTTTAATCCCTCATTGTCACATGCTACAGGTGTTCTTTGGGTCTATGTGATTTGTCATTCTTTTGGATAACTATATTTGATGAAACACCTTAGGCTTCCCTGGTACCTCTTCTTAATATTTTAAGGAGTTCCTGTTCAGTGACATAAGGTGTTTCTTACCCTCAGGTACTAAAGCCACTGTCTGGAATCACTTCTAGCCCTTTTTGACCTGGCGACCTTTTCTTATTTTACTCCCCTTGTGTCTACAACACTGCCAAGATCTTTTCTGAATATACCTTCTCAAGACTGTTTTAAAGTTTATATAGTAGTATTTGCAAGTTCTTACTAATGAAGAAAGTACATACATGGGTATTATTTTTGGAACATAAAATTAATGAATTGAAGCAAAAATCAATTTGTCACTGTGCTTACAAGTGTTTTGGGTGCGACCTTGTATAGCTAACTGGGAAAAAAGTTGATATGGGGTTCTGTATCAAGAAAGATATGTGCTATGGATGTAGAATATTCCTTGGTCTTTTATACTGAACATCTTCCTAGTTCCCTGATCAAAGCTATTAACTCTTGACTGTTGTATCAGCTTCTGTTTCATTTCTACTAATGGTTATCTGTTTTCCAAGTTTTGAGATTTTTTTGGTCCTTGTTTAGAAAGCTCTAGGTACAGCTAAATATCTTAGTAAAGGTCAAGTGGGATGAAGGAATATACATACAAGAGCAGCAGATTCATGTTCTCGTAAGAACAAAAAGTAAATAGGCTGTGTCTAGTCCAAGTAATCTGATAAATATTGCTCTAAGCCACCACTAATGTACCCTTATATAATGGGAATCTACAGAAAAGACCTTCAGGCAGCAACTCAAATGTTGGTAAAGGCATACCCTTTTGATCTTGGCTACTGCTAAGATTATTTTTAAAATACATGGAGAAGAAAAAGCATATTCCAGTGATACTTCACTTAAGACAACACACATTTCATACAAGTGAAGTTAATCTCAGTGCTGACACCATCTAATGTCATGTAAGCCAGGGTAATCCATTACTGCCCAAATCAGCAAGGGCAAAGGGTAGAACGGTGTTGATGTGAGAATCATATTCACACCTCAGGAACAGAGGAAAATCCAAACTTGGAAAAATTTCACAAGATGAATTCAAAAGATAACAAGCAAGATGAAGTACCAATGCCATTACTTTAAAATATCAAAGATTGATATTGGTGCATCAAAAAGGATGCTCTCTGAGACTTTTTGAGTTACAACAGGTGAAACTTTTAAATCATTCAAGTAGATTGCTGATAAGAGAAAGTCTTGTGGTTGAAGATATGTGGACGAGCAACTTTAAAAGCCTATTTTATTATGTACTATTATTATAGTACATAATTATTATTATTATTATATTGTGTATTATTTATTACTTAAAATATGTACACAAAACCAGAAAGACAAACCCTACTGTTCTTGCTCCAAAATAGTTAATATTACATTAGGACAATCTCTGGTGCAGATAATTTCTATAGTAAAAATTTTGCAGAAGTTTACAGATTTGTCTCAACAAGTATTCATGTGTAAAGACTTAAGATATGCCTCAGTTTCCCAGTTTAACAGTAAACTGTGTTCTAGGAGGCAACCAGCTTGTCATTACAGGGCAACAGGTCTTTTATTTGCTCTGTGACATTCTTGTTTCGTAGCAGATAAAGTTGGAATCTGTTGGTGATGATTCTCGTTCTTGTGAATCTGTCCAGTCTTCCACTGAGGACTTTGAAGCATGGTAATAGCCTTCAAGCAGAATATGTTTTA